GGGCAGCCCGCCGGGGCCCCTCCCTCTCCGGGACCCGGGGGCCTCGAGGCCTGCAGGTGAAGGGCCGGGCGGGAGAGGCGGGGGTCCTCACCCTGCCTGGTGCAGAGCCCCGGCCCGGGAAGGGAGCGGAGGGGCGGGTGTGGCCGGCCAGGCAGCTGCGTTCTCCCACTCCCCACGTTCCCACAGACTTCCCGTTACCAGGTGGGACTCCGGATGGCGTTTCTGGGGTTCAGGGCTGGCTGTGTTGTCTCTCTAGCGACTCTTCCGGGTTTGACGCCCTGGCGGGTTTTGAGGACCCGGCTCCAGGCTCAGGGCTTGACCAGAGCCCCCCCTCCTCGGAGGACTCCCTGCCCAGGAACGTGGCTAGCGAGAGATCCCGCAGGTATGGGGGCGATGCCTTCAGAGGTGAACCGGAGGTGTGAGGGCCGTGGTTTGCCCCGTGCCCGGCGGCAGGGACGGGACCTGGGGGCACAGGCAGCTCTGCAGCCAGCCAGCCTCTGGGCAGCCTGGGTTGGGGTCTGTGCCGAGCCCAGGAGCAGGGGCTGCCCGGGAGCGGCTTGACGGCTGTGGTCTGGGGACCCCGCCGCCCGGGGGGCCCTGGGCTGCTGGGCGGTGGGTTCCAGCCCCAGCAGCGGCCGTCCCTTCTGCTAGCGAAAGGCCACCTGGGGCTTGGATGTGTGTCGTTGGGGTGCAGGAAGCGGATTGCCACGAGCTGCGAGCGGCTTCGGGCCCTGCTGCCCCAGTTCAGTGACCGGCGGGAGGACATGGCCTCAGTGCTGGAGATGGCCGTGCAGTTCCTCCAGCTCGCCCACACCCTGGTGCCCGGTTGGGAGCAGCTCACTGTAAGTTGCCCTCCTGTCCCCCAAGCCTTGTGGACTGCAGCGAGTGTGGTCTCCCTGCAAGGTCTGGCGGAATACCATTCGGTCTTCCAGAGCTTTGGGCCCTCAGAGGAGCCCGTGAGAGGCAGGGGCTGCTCGTGGCAGAGGCCTCCCTGGCACGGCGGTCCTGACCTTTAGTGGGGGCGGGGCAGGCGCCCGTGGCCAGGGCCCTGCAAGGGTGGCAAGGCGTTGGAGGAATCTCTGCCTCAGAGGGTCCTGCCTCTGTCCGGAGCCCAGGCCAGGTGCAGGGGATCCTCTGGTTCCCCGGGGGCCTGCGGCAGCTGTGCTGACTTTAGCTGCTCTCCCCAGGGCGGGGTGGGGGGAGCTCTCGCTTTACCACGTGGCCGGTGTGTGTCTGCATTTCAGGTTCCCACGCCCACCAAGGAGTCGTGGCACGCGTGGCAGGAGGAAGTTCTGCACCTGACCCTGGCCAGTCAGGTTCCAGACAGCAAACGGAACAGGCGGGGCCGAGCTGTGTGAGTGTCTCACTGAGGCAGGCCGCTGGCGGAAGTGGACGCGGCGTGTCCCAGAGCAGACTTGGGTGCTGGAGGCAAGGGGCCCACGGCTCTGCGCTCCTGTGGCCCAGGGCACCCTGTGTCTTCCCTTACCCAGGAAGCGGGAGCCCCGACGTGCACCGAGGAACGTGGAGAAGACAGAGGCGACGGCTGCGCTGCCTGAGAGGCCGCAGGGTGCCGATGTCCCTGCCACGCTGCCGGAGAGGCCGCCCTCCCTCCCGGGTACGCCTGGGAGTGTAGCCAGAGTGCCCTCTGACCCCAAGAACGTGGGGGCACCCATGGTTCCATGTCGTCTTCTCTTTGTAAAAACCCCCAGCCGACCTTGGGCCTCCCTGAGGGAGGGCGTGCATCCTTGGCTTTCTAGCATCATTTACACCCAACTCCAGTTCTGATCCTTCAGCATGCTCTGGGGACCGCCCTGGCACCCCCCCACACCTCTAGGGGTCACCAAGTGTGCTAGGGAGCACAGGGGCACAGAGGGACGTGGTGCCCGGCTGCCCCTCCCCCCCTCTTTTGTTGGCTGTGGGGCTTGAACTCTGGGCTTGGGCATCATCCCTGCACTCTTCAGCACAAGGCCAGCACTCTACCACTTGAGCCACAGCGCCACTTCTAGTTTCTAGTGGTTTATTGGAGATAAGAGTCTCACGGACTTTCCTGCCTGGGCTGGCTTTGAACCTCGATCCTCAGATCTCAGCCTCCTGAGTAGCTAGGATGACAGGCGTGAGCCACTGGTGCCCAGCCCCGCCGCCCCTCTGTTGTCCATTTGTGCAGCCTCCTCATGCTGTGGCTTTGCTTCTCTTACCTGCTCATCCTGGGTTTTGTTTTGTGCTGGTCTTTGGGGCTTGAACTCGGGGCCCTGTGCTCTCACTTGGCTTTTGGTGCTCTTCCGCTTGAGCCCCACCTCTATCTTGCCATTTTGTGGGTTGATTGGAGATGGTGGAGATGGAGTCTCACAGACTTTTCTGCCTGGTCTGGCTTCAAACTGCCATCTTCCAGGTCTCAGTTTACTGAGTAGCTAGGATTACAAGCAGAAGCCCCTGGCTTCTTGGACCTTTGCGGGTAGCATTTGGCCAGAGCCCTGCGTTTCCAGGGTCACCTGCGTCCTGCCCGGGCTGCCAGTGTGGAAGCCTGAATTGGTAGGGTCTTAGCCTGCAGCCTTCGAGCCGCTGGTCATTGGTGCAGGCCTGCGCTCATGGAGGCCACCGAGACCCAGCCCTGCTCTGTGCCTGTGGTGCCTGTCCCCTGAGGAGATCCTCTGATGACCCCCTCCCCCCAGCCACTCAGAGCACGTATTCGTCGTGAGCAGAGCTTGCCACCCACTCTGGCCTTCCTCCTACATCAATGGGAGGAAGTCAGGGTGGTGGGGCTGCGGGCAAGGGGGACTGACCGCCTCCCCTCCCACCCCCCCAGAGCCTCACAGCCCCGATTCCGAACTCCTACCCTGGCCTGTGCACTCCTGGCCGCTGGCCTCTCCTGGGATTGGCGAAGAGGACTTCCTTGGGCTGCCCCCCTTGGCGAGGGACACCGAATCTCCTAGTGGGCCGGCGGAGGAGGCCGGGGAGGGCTCGGCCCTCGTGGCTGATGCCAGGTAGGTACCTGGGTGGGTTCGTGCACACACGGGTGAGCTGCCTCTTGCCTGTCTCCAGTGCTGCTCCAGGCTTTCTCTCCACCTGGAAGCTTCTGTGCCTCTCTCTTGGCAATGCAGGGAGGCTGAGCTGGGCGCCCAGGGCAGGCTCACCATGTGGCTTTCTAATGGGTGTTTCTGGAGACACGCTCTCCTGATTGTCTCTTGTTTTGGCTGATGGGTCGCGTTTGTGTTGGGGGGCACACACCAGCTGGGGCGTGGGGGCGGAGCAGCCAGGGACCCTGCGGCCGGGCAGACACCGGCAAGGCGGCACTGGGGCCCCTCGGCCACGGCCTGTGGCAAAGTGCCAGCCTTCCGCCCTCTGCCCGCTCTGCCTTTCTCTTGGCAGAAGCGCCTGTGGCCTGCCTTGTCTGGCCTTGCTCCCAAAGCAACCCCCTTCACACCGGAAGTGGCCTTTGGAAGACGTGGGGCCCTGGTCTACCCGTGGGCCACTTGCCGGCTTTTTGCTTCCAGGTCTCTTCCAGGGTCAGGCCTGGAGGACGGGCAGGCTTTTCTGATGACTGCCAGTGCTGGCTGGTGGCAGGGTGAGTGCACCGGGCACGGGCTGCCATCGCCCACGCTGGCCCAGGCTTTGGGGCTTCCGATGCGGGGCCAGGGGATAGGGTGCCCGCCAGCTGGCAGAGTCTCGGGGGTGACCAGCAGGGGAGCGGGTGACAGGGCAGGGTGCCTGGTCACATGATGCGGGATTGCCTAGCGGTGGTGCCTTTTCTCCAGACCTTAGGTCCCGCTTTCCGCCAGGCTCTGAGCACCTGAAACGTCACGGGGGTGTGACCTCCTGCTGTGGCGTCCAGGGTTAGGGGTGCACGGTCATGGTTCTGGCCTGAGAGGGTCCCCCAAGGTGGGGGTGGGGCACCTCCCCAGGTGCCTCTGACCCAGGGGCTGCATGCCCTTGCTTCCAGGACCCCTGCAGGGAGATGGAGGCGCAAGCCCAGCTAGGGGCAGTCCAGTGGACCAGGCCGAGCTGGGCATCCTGGGGGATCCCGAGCCTGGCTCCCCAGAGCTCCCGGACGGCTCCCTGGAGCTGTGGAGCTCGGACCTGGGCAGCTGGGAGTCTGAGCTGAGGGATGAAGCCGACGCCATCTTCCCCGACTTCTTCACCTAGCTGCTGGGGTGCTGTCGCGTGGCCACACTGCTCGCCTGGGCCTGGCGTGTGCTTTGGCGTTCCCCCTGCAGCTGTGTGCCAATTTGAGAGAGGCCAAATAATAAAGCAGGAAAGCAACTGCCTTGGCGGAAGCATCTCTGTAGCACTTGTGTAATTAATTCAATTCATCAGGCGGACCGGGCCACCTCCGGTCTGCGTGCAGGCGGCCGCGTGGGGTCTGGTTCTGGGAGCTTCTCAGCAGTGCAGCATCCCTGAATGAGCCAGCTGTGCGCCCACACCCTGCCGCCTGAGCCTGGTTCTGGGAGCTGGGCTGTTAGTGGCTCTTCTCTGCGTCCTGGCTGTGGAGCCTGACGGGTCCTTCAAGTCCCCCGTGTCCCCTTCCCCAGGGAACAGGACCAGCTGGCCCCACCACTGGCCACCGCTGCGCTTCCGGGTCATGGAAACCCCTCTGCCTGCCTCATCTAGACTCCTCTCCACGTGGGGTGGTGCTGGGCGCTGTGAAGGAGGCTGAGGTCTGAGGCGGGTGGGCCTGCTTTCAGTCACAGTAAGGGCGACACTGCGCCCTCCCAGACTGGGTGGAGGGCTTGACGTACGGTCCCCAAATGCACCCAAGGCCCGTGATCCCTCCCTCCCGTCCTCTGAATGTTTCTAGGAGAAGATAGAGCGGTCTCAGCCCCAGAGGAGCGCCAGGCAGGCTGCCCACCCCCTGCCTGGCAGTGTTCCATTCATTCCCCGCGAGTCACGCACACGGAGGCCCAGGAGCAGCTGTGGGAAGGCAGGCCTCCCTTTGGGTGAAGAGCAGTGAGATCATCAGGAGCTGCGGGGCCTGGCGGGGCCCGGGGCCGTTGGGTGGACATGCGCACCAGGCCCAGTGGATGTTGGGACGCAGCTGTGGGCCACTGTCCTCAGGATTGCACTGCCCTGCTCAGCTCCTGAGGCTGAAGCCCTGCAGCAGCAGCAGCGGCAGGGGGGCTGGGAGGCCTGGGCTGCTGTGTGCCCGGAACACCAGGCCCACAGCTGTGCTGGCTCACTGATACCAACTCTGATGGCAGACCGCAAGTGACTCCTAGAAGACTGTGCCCTGGAGCCTGTGGGAGGACCCAACCCTGCACGTGCCCCCAGCCCGTACGGCTGCCCTGCACGCTCCCCCAGCCCGCACGGCTGCCCTGCACGCTCCCCCAGCCCGTACAGCTGTGTCTTGCACGCTCCCCCAGCCCGCACGGCTGTGCCCTGCACGCTCCCCCAGCCCGCACGGCTGCCCTGCACGCTCCCCCAGCCCGCACGGCTGCCCTGCACGCTCCCCCAGCCCGTACGGCTGCCCTGCACGCTCCCCCAGCCCGCACGGCTGCCCTGCACGCTCCCCCAGTCTGTACGGCTGCCCTGCACGCTCCCCCAGTCCATACGGCTGTGCCCTGCACGCTCCCCCAGCCCGCACGGCTGCCCTGCACGCTCCCCCAGCCCGCACGGCTGTGCCCTGCACATGCCACCGCCCCGGTGTGTGGGAGTACAGGAGATGGGGGTGCTGTGCTCCAGCTGAGGGACGTGGGTGGGTCTTATTTCAGGACATCCTCCTTTGGTGGAGGAAGCCGATAGTTCCCACCCAGGGTGGAAGGCACCTTTCAGCCCCCTGGGAATGGGTACAGTGAGCCCCTCCCTCACCCCGAGGTCAAGTCTGGTTAGAGAGGAGGCAGGACCTGGGGTGTGCCCACCCTGTGAGTTCTGTGGAAACTTCTGGAACCCCCTGAGGTCCAGAATTCCCATGAAGGATGTTGGATGACATCCCAAATGCCGACCAGAGGAACATTTGGAAGTGGATAAGTTCAAAAGGAAAATGGCTCCGCAGTGTGCAGACTGAGCCAGAGTGGCTGGCAGCCTGAGCCAGGCATCGGCTGGCGGCAGCGGGCATCGGCCCTGAGCCGGGCATCCGCTGGTGGTGGTGGGCACCAGCCTGAGCCGGGCATCAGCTGGCCTGCCCAGCGCACAGGCCAAGCCCCCGTGCTCCAGTCTCGGATCCCTCGAGTCCCCTTGGAGGTGGGGCTGGGCTTCGCAGTGGTCCGTGGGGCTTTCTGCTGGGCATCTGCCTCCCACCGTGCTTCTCTGCTCCCCAAGGGTCAGGACAGGTTGCGGGGAGCTGGCAGACCCCGGGGGAGCTGCCCCCCCACTGGTGCTTTGGCGATCAGCTGGCCGGAAGAGGTGGCAGACCCTGCTGGGTCTCTGCCCTGTGGCCATGACCGAAGGACACCATGCCTCGCGAGCTGGCCAGAAGACTCTCGTGAGCTTTTCTAGCAGCACACCGCTGGTCTGTGTCTCCTGCGGAGTGCTGGTCCAGGCTGACCTGCAGCCCAAGCTGAGTCGGAGGACAAAGTGGCTCTCCCTTTAACCTGTATTTGGAAAGGACTGAGATTCCCATGCAGCCATGAGAGCCCCTGATGCCGGCTCCCA